ATTTGATGGGCACTATATTCAGGGGTGTCTGTATTTATGCTTTCAGTGTTGCATAATTCCGAGTTTTCGAATTTTTTTATCCTAATAGTTTCCTGTTTTATGTCAAGGTTTTCGATCCATAAGTCAGTGTCAGACTTGGTCATACGTCAGCTGAGTTATAGCTTAAGATTTGAAGGACCTGAGGTTATGAATTATAAATCCTAACGTGTATCTTTACACAGTCATATGTTTATACCAGTGGGTTGTAAAACGCTTTCATTCACATCAGTTTAATGTTTATTATCTGATGTTCCCTTTAGTCAGAATAATAAATATGTATTTCAGCTTTAGAATGTTTAAAGAGGATTCACTTTTAGCATTAACAGGTTCCTCACAAACTCATACGACATACTTTCATTCACTACGTCAATCTCAGTTAGCTCCAAACAATGACTACTGCAGTGACAAATGGTTATGGAAGGGAAGTTTTCAACAACTTTCAGAGCTCCTGTGAACTGTCTTTTGAGCTTATTGAGAGCACAGAATCTACCGAAAGACTTCCAGCTTCTCAGTAAAACGATATCGTTCAACCTATGTTCCGCAGAATATAAACGTTTAGTAGTGATTGCAATGTTAAATGGTTCTTCTGTGTTGCAAAGGAATGTTCTACCTGTTGTCGAACCTGGTACCTTTCGATACGAATCGTTTCTCTTTGTCTCCATATTTTTCCTATCCCCGTCAACATGGACTCCGTTTAAAATTCTAAAGGTTTCTCGATAAACGTTTGGAATTATACGTAGCCGGGGTCCGCAGTGGCCGCGTGGACGCTGGAACCTTGGGTTCGAATCCCACTCAAGCCATGGATGTTTGTCCGCGTTGTCCTGTGTACAGGTAGAGGCCTTGCGATAGGCCGATCCCTCGTCCAAGGAGTCCTACCGAATGTCTATAGATCGAAACTAACGAAAAGTTGGGACCCGCAGTGCTCAGGCACTTGAAAGAACGGGTCGTTCCCAGTATCCATGGACTACAGCCTTATATAGAAACACAAACACATTTTATGAATATATTTCGGGTAGTAGACCGAAAAGTGTTTCAGGCTGTATTTGATTACAGTCTGTGTTAGGCCTAAGAAGAATATTTCCTTCATATGGCGTGTTATTTTTAGCAGTGTTTGTAAAACGCTAAATATTACTTTGTTACACGAAACATCTTATTTGTGTTAATTTTTTCACGTAATATTATATAACATGTTATTTTTGTACAGGGAGGTTAGGTTGAAATTTGACATGAATTACTTCTTGGTCGTTTTTGAGAGACGATTATAGACGGTGGAGAGTTGATAAATGCTGGAAAAATGTTGCTGTGTGATTAAACGAGGATGAACGTGGACGAATATGAGATTCTCTGAAGCATTCAGTTATTGAATTTGCCTAGGGGCTCGGCTTTGATGTTGTAAATATTCCTCTTTGCTTAAGGTAGAATGCGTGCTGCCTACATCTTAGGGTCTAGCCATGCCCGTCGTTGACTGACGTCTCCCTGGTGTATTTACAACATTCACTTTTCTGTATCGAGACGCCAGCCGCTGGCTTGGGGGGCTGTAAGTAACTAATTTAAACCAAACTCACTTTACACAGAACAATTATGCATGTCGCTTCAAAATTACGGAATTGTTTGGAACTTGGTTTTGCTACAGTGTTGGATGAATGGTCACAGATATTTTGGGATGGAGGCCTTTAATATGCAAGTGCAGGAGTACTCAGACATGTGCATACAAATATATATATGTCACTAATTAACATACCTACTTCTGAATTCTCCACTCACAATACCATACGAACGTCTGAGGTGAAAGCTGGGAAGTAACACCACAGTCATTCATTACGTCAAATTTAAGTTCTGGAAGTTGAAGATGGTCGTTTGTTAAAGGTTTTTTTTTGTGTTGAATGCAGTGTCTAAAATAAAAACATGGAACACTGCAAAGAATGTATTTTATTTTCCAATTTGTTGGGGGTAATTAATAAACTATTGAATGAAGGTGTTTGAAAATTCTTATGCTGTTATAAACACACGTACACATTACACAGGCTTTTGGATCTTTGGGTGATAAAAATTACAGACTTTTCGATAAAGTTCTGACAACTTTCATGTTTTGGAAACCAATAATCATCATCGTCATCATCATTGGCTGTACAACCCGCTGTGACTCGATTTCTAGTTGAGTTTAACCCCACGAATTTCTAACATCGACACTAAATGTAGGTGAGCGGCAAACTTCACACTCCGGCTGTTTTAACCCCGGGAACTGCTTGGGGTATGCAACGCATAGGGTGCAGGGTGGGCCCCAGTGGACGCGATGGTAAGAAGATAAATCTCTGCTTTGTAAACCTGTACCATGAACATAATTTTACACTAAATTAGGTAACTGAATTATGTAGTCGTAATTAATCATTTATAAGTGACATTGACCTTTACATGCGAATGGTGGTTTTGTAGAAAAATAGATAATTTCGTCTCTGAATTATTTTCAATGTTTGATGTTAAACGTCATTTATGCTGAAGATGGTTATATCCTGTTGTCGCGCCGTGTCGTATGGCCGGAGTTTCAGAGGTTCTTGCTGCCTCCATCGTCAGGGCGATGACTAATTTTTGGAAATCGAGTAATCAGTATGTAATTCCCTTAAGAAATGTCAATTTTGACACTACAGAAATGTGTCGACTGGCTCCCATATACGGGCCTGGCTCCAGGTTGTCTGACAAACTGCTAGTTTTATAGTAGATTTTCTTTATACTGACTCCTGCTTCGTCCAAAGAGTCGTCGTCGTCTTAATTTTCTGCCTTTAGTAAGATCTTGTGAGGTGTGGGTCACGCTAGGGTCACATATTTTAGGGTCCTGATATTTTGTTCGGTGATAGATATTCGAAAATATGCGTTTTTCTATTGAGGTTAGGTTTGTTGTTTATAAAATAACATATGCACGAGACCTGTTTCATGTTTGACTGTGAGAAATGAAGAATTATACGATCTGGGGACGTGGGAGTTAGTGTTGAGCCAGATCGTACACACTGGTCCACGAAGTTTAAAAAGTTTTCGTGTCGACAGTTATAAACATGGAGTTGTGAGGCACATTGAGCGACGCAGAATACATTTTTCGTAACAGTTGTAATCTGTACTTCAATAGAAATCAAACAAATTTTTATTGCTACCCTGTAGAGCGCCATCTGATGCCTATTTGAGAGCGTGGTTTTCTCTTGTTGATATTAAGCATATTTGCATCATATTTCATACAAGCGTTTCTTCCGGGCGGGCCCCGAATTCTTCCGAGGACCGCGTCGGGTAGAACATGGCAAGCGATAAACGTTTCCTGTCTGCCTTGTGCCCATGATTTCATTTGAATTCGTGTGGTTTATATCCGATATCGTCCCTGGGTTCAGCACGAAATATATTTGTGATTCTGTACATAGCAGTACGAGCCTCGTAGAAACGTTGATATCAATTTTACGTCGTCATTCATTTAACCCCACCCCACGAATTGGGAATTTTCCAGGACCAAACCTGGTTTCTACAGTTTTGCGTCTTCTCCATCAGGTTAAGCGAAGAACAGATACCACCTGTACTTAGACGTCCTGTCCACGTGCCGGACCTGCAAACCAGAATAGTTTCGTAGCCTAATTGTGACAAACTTTGTGTTTATAATTTCTCACATTAAGAGGAGAACATGGTTTTGTTAACGGGTGGCTGGAGGAAATATTTGGACGTCAAAGCTAGGAAATTGCATATTCATAATTTTTATTATTCATCAAAATTTATTTGGATATACAAATGGAGGAGGACGAGTTGGTCAAGCCCATCTCACGCATGGAATTATAAATGCATTCAAAGTTTTGGTGAGGAATTATGATTGGAAGAGACAGAACGCTTCCAAAGACGTTGGTCGTACATTCGAGGTTCCTCTTAAAATTTTGAAAGCACCACCCAGGAATAAATTATCCTGTTAATATATCATTCGAAATGGACACCTGCTGTAAGGGACAGGTGAGTTCTAAGCACTGTAAAAATCTGCCCCACTATACGCCACGTAGGCGCTTAGGGGGAGAGGCGGTATAGCTCCTACTCATTCTCGACCTCGGCACTAGATGGGGGTGAGTGGTCAGCGTCACGCCCCGGCCGCGTTTAACCCCCCGGGAAAGGATCCCGGTACCCATTGGACAAGAGGCTGGGTGGGCCCCAGAGCCGGTCTGGACGCAGAGGCTAGAGGAAAAATCCTCTGCCCCACGTCGGGGATCGAACCCCGGTTCTAAGCACTGTACAGCGACATTATTTTACAGGACAGTGTTCTGTAACCACCAGAGTTCCTACGCTTTCATGGGTACGGTCTACGTGATACAATTTAACAACTTACTGAGTTCTGATACCTCCAGAGGAAACACTTTAGAGGGCGACTATTGTCAACACGAACCTTTGTCACAGACAGTCTTTTGTGTCATTAGCGATGTGCTCTATCAAATGAGTATAAGACAATGGACTCAGGTAGATCTAACCTTATGCTAATGTGATAATTGACTGACAGATTTATAGCGTAATTAAGGTTTTTCGTGCTTGTCTTCAGTCTCTCCAGGGAAAATTATGGTTCCACCTTAAATTAGGTCATGACCGCTACCTTCCACTTTATTTTTAAATAATAATTTTATCATTTAGCTACTGACAACGTCATTAAATGAACCACAAGTTATCAAGTATGTCTCAGTAGGATTTGAGGTACTCACGGCGGGGAGTATGAAGATGGCTGTCATCTTGGATGTTGAGGCGTGTAGTCTGGTAGATATTTACCGACGTTTCAGAGGAGCTTATTGCCTGCATTACCAGGGCTTTCCAACATCCCAGAAGACCGCCGTCTTCTTTGGCGTGATGTCCTCCTAAGCGCGGTGGTGGTTTGATAAGAGGACAGTTTGTGCCTTCCTGTCGACTCGCATGTACAACTGGTGTCCTGTGCTGATTGCTTTGTTGCTCTCTTGTTCCTGCAGGGGTCCGTTTAGCGTCGTGAGACGATGCGTCCACCGGCAGACGGCGCAACTGTTTGCCGTCAAGATTGTGGACGTCGCCAAGTTCACGTCCAGTCCCGGTCTCAGCACGTCAGGTTAGTTCAGTCTTTTTACCTGCTCCATATTCGACACTGAGTGCATTACGTAATTTCGTAGTAAAATTCTGCTTGTGTTTAATGAAACGTCGCGCTATGAAGATGTATGGAGTGGAGGTATAGCTCCACGCATTCTTAACGTCGGATTAGTGGTCAGCATCATACCCCAGCTGAAATTGACCTCTGTAACAATTGGTTAGGAGTCTGGGTGGAGCCCAGAGTCGGTCTGAACGCAGTGGCAAAGAATATAATACCACACGCTGTCGAGAATCGAACCCCGGTCATCTTGCCCATAGCCACTAATTTTACTGACTTAACTACACGCTTCTATAAAATTTTTGCGAAACGATGATGGAAATGTGGAATAACTGTTCAGTTTTTTAATTCTGTATAAATTTCATAACATTTCATTGAATTACTGAAATTACCATTGATATATGCAATTTAAGTACCTGACAGGATTTTGAAAGACACGGTCTTCAGCCTTGTAGAGCAGCGTTTATCAACCTATGGTACACGTACCAGTGGTGGTACGCGAGCCAGTGTTGAGTGGTACGCGAACTAAGTAAGAAAATCAAAAGATAATATTAAAATAAATACGTTTTCCCTGAACGCATTTGGTTAGTGGTACATTTAATGTGTTAGATTAGAATTAGGGGTACGCCAGCGAAAAAGGGCGAGAACCCCCGATCTAGAGCCTAGTGTGACTGTTATTTTGCATTGCGTACTTGAAGGAAGATATGAGGTTACCCATTTCATAAGAACGATAATTATTCTTATTTTGTACGTTTTATAACCTCATAGATATTTTACACAGGCGTACGAAGAAGTTATATGCACACATAAAACTGATTTTGAAGCAGATATCAGCTGCTTTAAAAAAAATAAGTAGACGACAGTAAGAGCGAATTGAAACAAGTTTGACCTTCAGAATCCCTTCTGGTACGGAGTAGTCCGAAAGCAACAAACGTAGAATTTCTAGGATAATCCCTTGAAACACGAACCAGACTTGTGCTCGCACTGTCCGTCACTCGATCGTGGAAGTGCATGGAGCTTTATGGTCTCGGGTTCGATTCCCGGCGGTGCCCGAATTTATAACTTGTGTTGGGCAAGGCCGTGGTCTAGGCAACACGGAGTTTTCCTCCGTGGCATCCCAACAATTACTCCATTCACACACAGAAGAAGGCAATGGCAAACCACTTCTGGATCATCTGCCAAGAACGGATATGAACAGGTCCCAGTCCGAGAAAAAGATGGAAGGATCCT